CCCCCCACCCGGATTATAGTTTCCCCTAAGCAATTTTTCTTCTAGATGTACAGATGACGGGGGCAGATCTAGGGTATGAATACAGGGCTCATCGGTTTGTCTCTATCATGAATGGTGCAGACCCTCGTTAAATAATTCCTAGATCTGCCCCTGCTGGACGCCTCTAATTAAGCAGTGAAATTTGTGCCCATTATTATAATTAATGTTCTTTTTAAATTGTGTAGCCAACACAACTAGAATCCTAGATGTTTGAGTTCTTGGCTTCTGCCAATCAAAGTTTTTTGTTTTGATTGGCAGTAGCCAAAACCCAGACTTATATGGCCACATTGCATGATAAATGATGAAAAAATTTGGTCTGACATCAATGTAACCAAGTATTTTCATTACCCCCCAGGCATTTTACTTATGCAGAGAAATTCATGGAGAAGGGGGGGGGGGAAGGACCAAACTAGGCTTAGGAGAGTATTAGTACTTCACATACCATATAATAGAATCTACAGCACGATTGGCCATTCTGATGTTAAGAAAAAAACAGGGTTGAGTTGACATTGTAGTGAATTGTGGGACGGATTTAGGGGACGACATAGACGCCACCTTGGAAATATGTTCTCTAACGCACCCACAATGTACTGCAATACCAACTTGACCCAGTTTTTTCTTCAACCTTGATATGGCTAAATAAAATTCTAGCACGATACTGAGGATTTTTGAAATAAAGGGTTCAAAATTGCATCCACAGGCTGCATTAGGACTAGATGATAAGATTTTGAAAATTTCAGAAAAATCGTACCTGAGGATGAGGTGAAAAAAGCCAAAAACTAAAAATATCACTTTTTGATTTTTCGGCCGCTAAGGCTAAACAACTTAAAATAAAATACACTGTTAGAATCTAGGATAATATTGAGGAACGACATATGAAAAATCTAGTTAAATTCACGCAAAAAAGATTTGCGAAGCGAGCGAGAATAAAATCCAAAATTAGCTCTGAATTAGTTTGGATCCGTACGATGTTTAGGGATTTTAATGCCGTAAAATCCTAAATTCTTTTGATTAAAGAAAGCTAATTCGAGTTCAATCGTTAAGCAAAATTTTTTAGAGCTAGGTTTAGCCCCCCTTGAAAGCATCGGATATATGTATTAAGGCGAGGGATGCGAAAAGAAAAGAAAAGGATGACCTCAAACTAGATTTCTGCTAAGGAGGCTCGATGGGATTTTCTCGGCGCTCTACAATGCAACTTCAAATGTGCGGACGTACACGATTTTTCGAGGAAGCTTTAAGGGAAAGATGAAATTTTTGGATGCTTATGTTTTTTACTGAAATCGGAATTAATACCAAATTGTTATTAAGTGTTGTTGTGCTTGCTTAATCGCACATTTTGTCCATTTTCTTAACATTCAAAAATCGCGTGTGCTGTGAGCCCGTCCATGCAAATTAACCAAACCAAAATTTAAAGATCAATTTAAGGTAGGGAAGCCGGTCTACTTTTCTGATATGGCCGGTAAAGAGCGTGTGTGCAAGGCTTCGATTGAAAAATAGCTGGTATATCAAAGTTGGGAAAATCTTCGGAAAGCAATTAAGCAGCAATTGCCATTGCAGGGCTTACACAGCTCACACGAATGGAATGAAAGATGACAATAGCAATGAATAATCAAATAAACAAGGAGTAAGCAGAATTACAGTCGTGAACTATCTTCATCATGTTTATAGGCTCAAAACGTTTCAACATGATGTTAGTACCTATATACTTCAGTAAATGTAAGGAAAGTTCATCGAGTAGTTTTGAATTCACGTACATCGTTTTCATAACCTGACATTACACGCACGCACTAAAACCGTGAACATTAAACAGTACTAATTAGTACTATTTGAAGCAGAATCCTTTGTTTTCTATTGGTTAATTATCACTATTTAGTGCTA